TGAGAAGGGAACCTGTGCCAGCCCTCTCTGGTTTTTCTGGCAGAGGAGAGGGGCAAGCACCATCGTGGGTCCTTCCTCCACCACCTGATGGAGCACAGATATTTTGTGCTCTGTCATAGGCACAGATGTGGGTTAATCTTGAGCTTTTTGGGGAGCACTGGGTGGTTGAAACCCAAAGCCAGCGAGCTTCTTGCAGTTGGTTTTATGCGGTGAACAGATCTGCACAATGGACTGAAAATGAAGGCACAATGTAAAAAAATAATAATAAAAAATACCCCATAAGTCATTAGAAGTATTTCATTAACAAAAACTTTGCTTTTACCCAAATAAAATATTTGCAGTCCATTTTGCCCTATGCCTGGTGGGTGATTTTGGTCGCACTGTTCCTCCCAGTCTGCACCTTTCCACGCGTGGTTCCAAAGAGATGCTTTGGTTTGAGGTTTGAAGGCACCCAAGGGCTTGCAGCCTGTAGGGTTTTGTACACTCCAGAGGGAAAAACAAATAAAAATGGCTTTGAAACACAGCAGCTGCTGCCTCTCACAGCCGAGGTGGTGGTGACCAAGCTGATAGAAGAGCATCCTTTTAATGTCCCACGGATTGCAATGGAATTTCTGGAAAACACGTGGCACTGACGGGGGGCTCGTTCTGCCCAAGAGGCTGTGGCACATGGCCCTGCCATACAGCTATTTTGCTGAATTGCAGCCATATTTCTGTCAGTACAAGTGATGGTCTATATGAGGGATTAATCTGACACCAGACAGTGATTCTTAATCCTGCAGTATATCATAATCTATTTACTTTGCATGCTAAGAGGATTTCAGCTTAAAAATACACAGGAAGTGATACTAGAAATGTACATAAAGTCCAGAATGCTGTTTCCTAAAATTGCAGTTTTTCATTAAAAAACATCCTCACACGGTTTTCTTGGAAAAGTCCTGTCTGTCCAGGAAAAAAAAAAAAGTTGAATAGGGATTTAACTGGAAATGGGCAGGGGTTTCCTTTTAGGCTTCAGCCCTGTGACCATTTTCACCATCCTCCTTCCCCACAGCATTTTGTGCTCGGCAGTGTGACATGAAAGGAGAGCTCTCTAGCAGAGCAGCTTCCTCAGCTGGGAGGTTCACCTGCAGACTTTTCACTGACAAAATCAAAACAGGTTTGGAACCAACATGGGATTTTATATGCCTTAATTGCTGCTCAAAGTGTATGAATTAGCAGCAACTGGCTAACACAGAGGTCAGCGCAGGGAAAACCACAAACCAGTGGTTCCTTATTCAGGTGTAATCACCTGTTTTCTCTGCTCCCTGCCAGGAAGGCAGCCTACAAAATAACTGTAAGAAGTTGTGTTAGTGGACACAACTTCTGAAACTTACATCAGAATTTTTAGTTATAATTCGTTAATAGTTTAAGTCGTGCTCAGTCATTATAGCTCGAGTTCCCAAGGCAGGTCCTGCACCCAAAAGAGGAGTTGCTCACCCCAGGCAGCAGCAGCCCTGTCCTGCCCCTGCCCACCTCTGCATGGCCACTGAGGGTGTTCATCACCAGCTGTCCCAGCTCCCTGCCACGCACAGGGGTTTCACAGCAAAGCAGGGACACAGAGCTAATGCTCTGGGAGCAGCAAAGAGCTCGTGGATTATTCCAGGTCTGTGAAGCACCAGTGCAAAAGCTAAGGGCAACCCAAGCTGGGCAATGCTGTCCCCTCTGCCCCTCCTCCTGCCCACCCCAAATCCTGGCCCTTCAGCTCCTGGCAGGAAAGCCCCAGGAGCCTTTGGAGCAGAGGCAGGAGCAGCGCGGGGCTGACCCTGCCCGTGGGCCCCCGCAGCTCCAGCAGCAAGTGGGATTTTAATTAAAAATAAATAATAATGGTAGCCACGCACCCAGCAGCTTCCTCGCTGGAGAGGCGAGGCATGAGCCAAGCAGGCAGCTCCCTCAGAAGCGGGTTGCCCTAAAAAGCTTGGCAATCCTGCTGGTGCCTGCCCCTGGAGCCGGGCACGGCGCCGTGCCACCTTACCTGCCGTGACTCACGCCCGGGGTGCCAGCGCCTGTGCCAGCCTTCAGGTACCCTCAGTGGGAGAGGTTTGCAAAACAGGGAGGGCTCTGGGCCAAACCCAGGCATGACCCTTCCCAGCCCATGCTCACCCACCAAGAGGCAGAAGTCCACTGGCACTGACTGGAAAAAAAATTAAAGCAAACGGAGCTGAGCACAGGGAGCACAGCCATGATCTGGTGTGATCTGACCAGGTCTCCTCTTATGGCTCCAAAACCACCTGTGCTCAACAGGCAGCTTCAACACCATGTGTTCCAGATCTGTGTGAGTGGCCCAGGAAAACACCCAAACTGCAGTGTGGGAGTTGCTGCATAAAGCACTGATCAGTGGCACCTGGTATTCCTGGTGCCTAAATCAGGGGAGGAAAGGGGGGACGCAAGCATCCCTTGGATTCCAATACCCCAAAGCAGAGCTCTGGTCCACCCACACTGTGGGGCACTGGATGAAGAGGTTTAGGACCACATCACCAAAACCAAAACTCAGGCTCCCCTCTTGGCTGTGGCTCTCAGCATCACTTACAGAGTTATAGTGGAACACAGTTTACAAGGACAATTGTCCTGGGTTGTAACAACAATGAAGTGTGCACCATTTTTGTTTAAAGATGACAGAAGGTGTGTGTCTGGGGGATTGTGTGTTGCCCACCTGCTGGATCTTGTCTCTCAAGTGCTCACTAAATCTTGGAGAGCAACTCCTTTTCATTTTGTGCCCAGCACAGATTTTTTTTTTCCCCCCAGCCCCAGGAGGGCTGTGGTGACTTTTTCCCCTTTAAAAGGAAGGGCTTGGGGATGCATGGACTGATGCACCAGCACACGTGGCCCTCACTCAAACTGTCTGTACAGCCACACTTTGGTGATTGAAGAAAATAACAATTATTTCATAGTAGAAGTATATCTATTTTGTTTAAATATACTTACATATATTTTATCCATATATATCCACAGAAGGAGACAACAGGGGAAAGAACCATTTAAAGAAAAATCCCCCAACACTGGCTCGGTCGCTCGCCCCCTCCCAAGCTCCCCGTTGCCCCGGTGGGTGCGGGGGCACCCCCGCCCCGGGGCCCGGAGGCGGCACGGGAGAGGCGCGGGTGGCTCCGGGGCTGATCCCGCTGCTCTCCCGCCGCCAGCCAGCGCCAGCCCCGCCGGGATGCTGGAGGGGGAAAGCGGGGCAGGTGCTGCGGGAGGGGGGATGTGAAATCCTCCCCGCGGCAGCCGCGGGGAGCACCGGCACCTCTCACCCAGCGCTGCCCCAGGCCGCCGGGGCACCCCGGGCTGGGGACGCACGGCACAGCCCCGGAGCTTCCAGGGGCAGCGGGCGCTGCTGCAGGACCCCGGGCAGGAAGGAGGGTGGGAATTCGGGGCTGCTCCCCGAGCAGCGCCTCAACGCCCCAAGCAGGGCAGCAGTGGTCCCGCGGGTCCTGAGCGAGCAGGAGCAGCCCAGCAGCACCGACAGGCAGCTTCCAGCAACCGAACTGAAGGGCTGGGGGGTAAAAAAAGAGGGGGAGATTGGCACGAGAAAAAAAAAATTAATCTTCCCGTCTTCCTTGGCTGGACCGCGGCCGGCAGCGGCTGAGGATGGTGCGGCCGGGAGTCGGGGCTGGAAGCGCAGTGCTGAACCCGCACAGAGGGACAGAGGGACAGAGCGACAGAGGGACAGAGGTCGGGCTGGGTGTCCGAGCGGCCCTCGCATCCCCCATGGGCACCCAGGCCCGCCCGGGGTCCCGAGCTCGGCGGCCGCGCCCCCGATCCTGGGGGGAAATCGCAGTTTTGGGCAGCGCTTGCCCGTCCCGCGAGTCCCATCGGCACCACGGGGCACCAATAATTCCGTAACCAATTAAAGGGCAATTAACGTAGGAGCGGGTCCCCAGCCCGCACTGCAGAAGCGGCGGTGGGTCCCCCCCTCCAGAGCACTCACAAACTCATCACACACATTCCCGTCCTGCTGGCACCCCCCAGGAAATAGCTCCCTGCTCCTCGCTCCCCCCAGGGAAGTTTTATGAGGAAGAGGAGGCAGGAGGGAGGAAGGAGGACACGACACCGCTACGTTTATTAGTTTAGATTTTATTGGGGTGGGCGGGAAGAAAGGAGGGGGGTTGCCTTACAGTCGAAGGGGTTACGGCATCGAAAGTCACGCGTACACCGTCCCTGTCCCCGCGGCCGGGAGGCGCCAGCCCGGGCGGGGAACGCGGGGCCGCAGCCCCGGCCCGCCACAACGCACCGACCGACACAAGGGCTCGAAACAACCAAAACGAAAACCGAACCAAAACACACACTCCGAAAAGCCGTGCGCCCCCCCTCCCCAGCCCCAAACCAGAGCTGCTTATCCCTGCAACCCTCCCCCCAAAAAATAAACCAAAACTTTTTTTTTTTTTGCAGCTTTTTTTGTTTGTTTCATTTTATTTTTTTTTTCCAAAAGTTTTGGGTTTTTTTGGTCTGCAGGTTGCGGATCAGGCGGGCAGCCTTTCCTCCCTCCCCCTTTGCCTCCCTTCTGGACACCTCCCATGGCTGCTTCCATGCCCCCCTCACCCTCAGCCCCAGGACGGCACAGCCAAGCTTGTGCAGAGTCCTCGAGGATGGACGGAGGGCATGAGACCGGGAAAAAATCGGTTTTTTTAGGGAAGATAATCGAAATGAAAAAAGATTTTTTTTTTTTTTTTTTTTTAACGTTCTGTTCCATGTTAGACTCTAGATAAATGCCAACCCAACAGCATCAACTAAAAATAATCGTGGTCACTGGAACGGACCGAGTATTTACATCACTCCCGCCGCTCCCCGCGGCAAGAGGCTGCACAGGACTGGCGAGCCGGGGCTTCCACACCCGCAGGGGCTGAGGGTCCCCGCACAAAGCTGGGGGGGCACTGGCAGGGCAGGAGCCAGCCTGCGCCTCTGCCCGGGGGGCGGCAGGGGACACGCTTGGCTTTTTAATTTTCTTTTCTTTTTTTTTTTTTTTTAACTCCTTTTTTTTTTCGTTTAAAAAAATAATAATTATAATAAACCTGGTGGAGTGGTGCAGGAAGCAAATAAATATCAGTCAGTAGAGATGGGGGCGGCAGGACCTCCCCAGGACATCGCCACTGCTAACGAAGAGGGAGGAGGAGGAGGAGGAAGAGCCCAGAGTCCTGCCCGGGAGGCGGTGGGGAGTCCCCGCGTGGGGGACCAGCGGCAGCTTCGGGGGGATGGTGGCCGGTCCCTCACAAGACCTGGAAGCGCCAGGACGCCTGGTCCTTGTAGTCAAGGCAGTCGGGGGAGTTGAAGTTGAGCTTCCAGGAGGCGGCGGCGGCGGCGGGCTCCTTGTAGTCCAGGCAGTCGGAGGAGTTGAAGGGCAGCCCCGTGCCGCCGTAGCCTTGGTGGTGGTGGTGGTGGTGGTGATGGTGGTGGTGGCCCGAGCTCTGGCTCAGCGGGTGGTGGTGGTGGTGGCCCGGCACCGAGGAGGGCCCCATGGGGCTGAGCTGGTGGGGATGGTGGTGGGAGTGCATGGGCGCCAGGTAGGAGCTGCAATCCACGCCCCCGAAGTAGGACGAGGAGGGCGGCGCGGGGTAGCCCTGGCCGTAGCCGCCGCCCTGGCTGTAGGACACGGGGTAGGAGGCGGAGGCGGCCGAGGCGGCGGGGCCGGCCCGCTGCATGCAGGAGGCGGCGGCCGGCGGCAGCGGCTCGGGCACCGTCACCCCCGCGGGCGCCGCGCCCGGGGAGATGGAAGCGGGGCTCCAGATGGATGACGCCGGGGTGCTGAGAGAGGCCGGGGCGCCCACCGGCGCCGAGGAGGCCGAGCTGGAGGAGGAAGACGAGGCGGAGCTGGAGGCCGCTGCCGGCGGCGTGAACTGCCCGCTGCTCTCCGAGCCCGAGCTCTCCCGGGCGGGCGAGGATTTCTTCTTGGCCGGGCGGCTCTTGGCCCCGCCGCCGCTCTGCTGCTGCTGCCGGCACTTGGCGCGGCGGTTCTTGAACCAGACCTGCAGGGACAAAACGGGGCGCAGGGGAGCAAGGAGCACGGTGGGGTGAGCGAACAGCCCCAAAAGGGCCTCCTCGGCCAACCACCTTCAGCCTGGCACCAGTTCTCCCGGTACCACTAACGCTGCGCACCCCTCACACCCCTAAATACAATCCCACATCCCACCCCTGCCCGGCAACCCGGGCACCCCACAGCCTGCCAAAAGCAAGGGTGGCCAGGGTCAAAGTCTGTGGTGTCCCAGCTCGTGCATATCCCTGGCACAGTGACAAAATATGGATTTGGGGGACAGATCCTGTGTTGGGGGCTGCCTGCATATCCTGCCCTCCTGGGTATCCACTGAGCAGTGCCCAAAGGGAATTCCTCTGGGAAGCACCCAGCTGGTAGGGCTGCTATACCCTGGAGCAGGTGGACGGTGACAGAAAATATATTAATAAAAATAATACAAGAGAATAAAAAATAAACGCTCCCTCTTTGGCTGAATGTGCCCACAGTGGGACAGACGAGCAGATGGGAGCCCACAGACCTCCCCATCCCAAGGAAAGAGGATGAGTGTGGATGGAGCAGCCGGTCTGAGCAGCGCCAGCTGAGCTGGGGTGGTCCTGCATCCCCATCCCACAGCGGTGCAGGATTCCCCCCGCAGGCCCGGTACCTGGACTCGGGATTCGGGCAGGTTGATCTTCAGGGCGACCTCCTCCCGCATGAAGATGTCCGGGTAGCGGGTCTTGGCAAAGAGCGCCTCCAGCACGTCCAGCTGCGAGCGGGTGAAGGTGGTGCGCTCCCGCCGCTGCTTCCGCGGGGTGGCTGCGGGAGGAGCACCACCACGGGGGTCACGCCGGGTCCCCCCGCGCCTCCCGCACGCCCCGGCACGGGGGAGCCCCGGCGTCCCCGGGACAAGGGCTGGAGGCGCTCCCGAAGAGCGGCAGCGTCCCCGCACACCCCCGGCTGCCGCAGCGCGTCCCGCTGCCGGCAGGGCGAGGGGCGCAGGGCTGGGCAAGGGTCAGGCCTGGCTCCAGAGGGAGCCACGGCGAGATTTCGTTGTGTCGAAATTAATTACTTTTTTGTGTTGTTATTGTTCAATCTGAAAGTTTTTTATCCTTAAAAATCCCTGGGAAAACGAAGACATCCCGGGAGCAGGGGGAAAATCCAGCTAGACCCCAATGTCCCCAGGCAGGGGTGCAGGCAAACAACCAGCCCACCACCCACCCTGAGCCGTGCGGCCCCACCAGCTCCTCCAAACCCGCACGGATGGAAGTTTTCCCCCTCCGCTGGCTGGAGGGTGGGGGACTGGGGGGCCGCGGTGCGCGGCACTCACCCGGATACCCCACGGAGGGATGCAGCAGGTCCATGGCCGGGCCCGTCAGCCCCAGCCCGTTCATGCCGTAAGGGGGCTGTTTGAGGTAAGACATCATGCTAGAAGCCGGGCAGTTTTCCTCCAAAGTCCAGCAGGAAAAAAAAAATCAAAAATCAAATCGAATGTATGCGGTGGGGAAGGGGGAAATGAAAGAAAAAAAAAAAAAAAAACTGACAAAAAGAGCCCCCGAAAAAATCCCCAAATAAGAGACCAAAAAAAAAAAAAAATTAAAGCCAACGACAATTTTAAAACGGAGCACAAAGTCGGCGTGAAAAGAGTTTTTTTCGTTCAGTCCTGCCGTCACCGCCACGAGGTCCTCGAGAGATAGCAGGTGAAGTGAGAGAAAAATAAAAACGAAGGGGAAAAATAAAATCAAAATAACAACGAGGATCGAGAAGCAGGCGGATTTCTTCCCCGCGCAGAGGCGAGGCCGGAGCGCCTGGGGAGAGAGCGGAGAGAAGCGGGTGAGGCTTCGGCCGCCCGGGGCTCCCGCGGGGCTGCGCCCGCCCGGCGCGGGGGCTCCGCGCGGGCGGCTTCCGATTGTTAATTTTATTATTATTTTATTTTAAACGAAGGCGAGTCGCGCGCAAGTGCCGAGAGGCAACAGTGCCCGGCGATCGGGACAGATAAAGCAATTATTTAAAAAGATAATTGGATTAGGAATCAAAAGGAGGTATCAGAGGAGGGAAGTATAATTAATTTAAAAGCGAGCAGACGGGGACGTTTTAATTAGAAATGGATAAGAGTTAAAAAGGGGAAAAGGAAAAAAGAGCGCGCCGGCAGCCGAGCGGCGACAGCGCGGGCAGCCGGGACGGGCCGGCGGGGGACGCGGCACCGGAGACCCGGCAGCGCCCGGCCCGGGGCAAAATGCCGCGGATACCCGCGCAGGGGAGGAAGGAGCCGAGAGACCCCGGGCGGCCCCGTCGAGCCCCGGGGGCAGCCCCCGCTCTCTGACACGACTCCCCCCAGCCGGGGCGATGGGGCACCCGGGCCGCGGGGCGGGGGATGCCGGGCGGGGGTCGCGGGGCCCCCCGTAGGCCGGCGCCGGGCGCAGGTCGGGTGGCGGAGCCGGGACCCGGCGTTGCATAACTTTGTCGGGGACGCGGCGGAGCGGGCCCGTCCCGGCAGGAGAGAACGGGGAAGAGGAGGAGAATAAAAGTGAAGAGAAGAGAGGGAAGGAAAAAAAAAAAAATCCCGAGGCAGCCCCGGCCCGGCCGCCCTCACCACCCCTGCCCACGGCGCCGCGGGCCCGCTACGCTCCGTCCCGGCGCCGCCGCCCGCCCCGTCGGTGAGCGCGGTGCCCACCGCCCCCGCCCGCCTCACCTGCGCGGCCACCTGCGGAGCGACTGAGCGCCCGCCCGGCGGCCGCGGCGGGGGCTGCGCGGGGCAGCGCGGGGCGGAGCGGGCGGGGGGCGCGGAGGGGGCGCGGCGGGGGAGGGAGCGAGGGGGGCAGGCAGGTGAGAGGCGGGCTGGGGAGGGGGCCGGGGGGGCGCTGCCCGGGGCCGAGCCGCGCACCCCCGACTTGTCGGGGTACCCCGCGTTACCTTGCCGGCGGCCCGCGCTGTCGGGGCGATGGAGCCGCGGCCCTGATGAGGATTGATCACCTACCCCCGGCCCTACCCTTGTATGTGCGCGCAAAGCAACTGCGTAACCAGCCCGGCGCCAATCCCCGGCCGCTCCCCGCCTGACTGACAGCCGCCCGGGCAATGGCAGCGCGGGGCGACGGCTCCTCCGCACCGCCCCGCGCCGCTCCGCGCTCCCCCGCGCACCGGCCCCGGCGCCGCGGAGAGCCGGCCGGCGGAGCGAGGGGTGCAGGGGGCGGGCACGCGGGGCCCGCGCAACCTCCGCGGAGAGGGAGGGTGGTGGGAATTGTTGGAGAAGTGCGGAAGAGGGAGGGCCGCTCCGCGCCCGCGCAGCTCTGCCCCCTCCCTCCCTCGGGATGCCCCCCGCGCCGCTCCGCGCCGTCCTCCGCGTCCCTGCCGCCCGGGGAGACCGCAGAAAAACTTTCGGCCGCCGCCTCCGCCGGCACGGAGGGCGCTCCTGGGGAGGGGAGGCGGTGTCGCGGCCCCCCCACCCCGCTGCCCGCAGGCTCTCGCAAACTTTGTGCTTTAAAATCGCAATAAAACTACACCGACCGCACCTTTCCTCGCGTGTCCCGAATTTAGGGGCTGCTACGCGCCGTGGGGGCCGGAGCGGGCGGGGGCCGCGCGGGAGCGGCGGGCAGAGGGGCGAGGTGACCCCGGGCCCTCCGCGCCGCTCCGCGGGGCTCCGCTCCTCGCTCCGGGCGGCGGGGTCGGGGCGCGGCGGGCGGCGGAGCGGCCCCGGACCTCTACAGAGGCTCCGGTGCGCGGCTTTTGTTGGTCTCCCCAAATCAACTCCCTCTAATTGCAGTGGAGCTGAAAGCGAGCTAATGTTCAAAGGCGCTGCCCGCCGGCCCCGATCGGAGCGCGGTCTCCCGGGGAAAAGACTTTCCCCCCATTTTATTTTGTTGTTGTTGGAGTTTTTTCCCCTTCTTTTCAATTCTTTTTCCTGTGCGAGGAGGGAACCGTCTAAGCCGGGCGAGAGGGAGCCGATGGAGGAGGTTAGCAAGCTCCTTCGCTCTCCCGCAAAAGTCAGCGACACGGGCACTTCTCCCCGTAACAAAGGCGCCGCGGCCCATTCACAAAAAAACGCAAAGGCAGGAGGAGGGCGCAGGAAGAGTTTGCGGGGGCAGTTCTCCCCCCTTCCAGCCCCTCTCCCCCGTTTTGCCCCGGTCCTGCCGGGGCAGTTCCTGGCTCGGGCTGCGCTCCCCCCGCCCCCCGCCGCCTTCCCATCACTTGGCCCCGCCGGGGCAGCCCCGGTCCTGGCGGGCAGCGGCCCCCCCGAGGCTTCCCCCCACACACACCAGGGGGTACCCATGCCCCCCCAGGCCTCCCGCAGCTCCCGCGGTTGCCCAACCCCAATTGCGGACGCCTCCCCGCAGGCTCGGCCGGGGGCTGCGGGCAGGGCGGGCGCGGGGCTCGCCACCCCCCCGAGGTGACGGTCCCGGCGACTCCGATCCCCCGTTCCCTCCGCCGGACGGAGCCGGCGCCCTCCCCGCTGCGCCCAGGTAAGGTCGGCGGCGGGGCGGGAGCTGCGGGCGGGCAGGGGCCGGGCTGCGCGACCCCGGCCCGGCGAAGGGCAGAGTTCGGTCCGGCGGCGGGGCGGGGGCTTCCTGCGGCCCGCTTGCCGGGCTGGGGGCGAAGGACGGGGGACACACGCACTTATTTTGCCTTCAGCCCACCGAGTGACTTTTTTCGCTTTAAAAGCGAGGCAAACACCGGCCTCCCCAGGAGGAGAGGATGCCCGCCCGCGGCCCCCCTCGCCCCAGGGGCAGCCCCACGCTTCGGGGCTCAGCGGCTCCCGGCGGGGCAGCAGCGCCGGGGGCTTTGCCGCCTCTCCCCTCCCGAGCCTCCGCAGCCGCGGAGCCCTCAGAGCGCGTTCCCTGCCGTCCCCAGCTCCTGTATTTGTACGGGAGGGCAGAAGAGCACGGCGGAGCCCGCTGCCCCAGCCCACCCCGGCGCCGGTGCGTTCCGCACATCTCCCCAGACTTCGCATGGGGCCAAATCCACCTGCGGGCCCCGGGGCAGCCCCCAGTTCCCCAGGCCGTGCATCCCGCGGCACCGGCGGCCGCTCGCACGAAACCGGGAGCTTCCCTCCTCCACGGGGGACTTCTTTTGGCGAGAGCGGCGGGGCGCAGCGCGGAGCGGGCCGCGGTCGCGCCCGGAGCCGCCGGCGCTGCTGCGGTGCCTCGCCCGCTCCCCGCGGGTGCGCTCCTTGCGCGCATCCCCCACGCCGCTGGCGGGCGGCATCGGCCCAGCGGAGAAAAGTTTTACCTCCCCCTCCCCGAGTTTCATTTTATTAAAATCCAACGAAAAACTTTTCCGTCCGGTGGGTTTCGTTGCGTTGGCGAAGCGGCGGCGTTCGGGGCGGCCCGGGGCGCGGAGCCCCGCTGCTCCCCCCGCGGGGATCGGGCCCCTCCCGCCCCCGAGCCCCCTCCCCGGCCGACTGAAGGCGGGCGGGGTGAAGGGAGTTTCCCAGGTAAAGAGGAAAGCGGCAGTTACGGTAAGAAAGATTCGGGTTTTATTGAAAATTTTATATATGACTCGGTGTTGTAATAAATAAACGAGACGAGCTCCACGAAGGGACGATGCGAGCGCGGGACACGCTTGGGGGCACACGGACGGGGCGGGGTGCGGTGGGGAACGCGGCCGGGCGCAATAAATAACGCGGAGCGGGCGGCGCGGGCCGGCCCGGCCCGGTCCGAGGGAGGACGCGGCTGGCAAGTGTCGCGCTGTCCTGGGCCGGGCCGGTCTCTGCCCCGGGCTGCCCCACTCCGCTCGCAGCCGCTCCCAGGGTCTTGTGCCAGCGCTTGGGGGAGAAGCCCCCCGAGTAAACCAGAGCAGCTCGGCTCTACTCTCGGGGAAATGTAAAACTGATGTAATAAACCACTGGTAAATACAGCACATTTTTAATAATAACTGGGGTGGATCTGACCTAACTATAAAATGTAGGTAGCTTATTAAGTATTACATATGGCAGGACTAGATGAAACCATTCCCAATGATTTTTTTTTTTCCTATATCCCCCTCTCTAATCCTATTACGACAAAAACATTTTTATTTCAAAACTCAGCCCTCCTCCAGCTCCAGAAACCAGGACAGACTATTTCTTCTCCTCCTTCCGCCCAGCTCCGGCATCGCCCGCACGCCAGGGGTCTCGGCGATTCCATTTCCAACGCTTTCGGCAGGAGAGCTGAGCCCACAAGCAAATCATGGGACAACGCGAGTTCGCTTGAATGGAAAACAAACAAACAAAAAAAAACAACGGAGTGGGGCCCGGCGCAGCCTAGATCTGGCCTAAGAAAATGGAAAAAAGTTTAATTTTTTTTCAAAACATTTTTTTTTTTTCCCAGTCTCATATCGGCATTTTAAGAACGTTAAGAAAGCCGTGCTGCGATTTCGCTGCCGCTGCGGGAAGGCCGCTCACTGGAGAACGCATTTCTCTTCCTTCTTGGCCATCTTGCCTTTGTTTTGCTCG